AGCTCGTGTTGTGCAGTGTGGTGTTGGTAAGGTTTATCGTGCAGCTGCGTTCCTGTCGCCCACCACCAAGCAAGGCAAGCACACGTCGCAGGGCCAGCTCAACTCTGGACACGACCAGCATTTCTCCTTAATTCTATCTTATACCCCCACCCTACTAAAAAACGGACGAGTAATCGTTTTACGACCCCATCAACTTTTATTTTTTTAATCTTAGCAAGGAGCCTCTGGGTTCGCGAAAGCCGCGCCTTGCGACTGCCGGAACTGCCACCCACGACCGATCCATCCCCGCATCGTTGAGGGGCATATTAAACAGAACGAATTAAGAGAAAACGCTGGGACGATTATTCTACGATAGCTTTTGGTGAGCCAACGATTTCTGACAGAGCTATTCATCCTCTTGTCCGCTGATTGCGAAAGGCTGACGACCATCCTGCCTCTCTTCACCTCTAGAAAACGCCTATTATTACCAAATAAACTGAAGAGCTAAACCAGAGACTGCTAACCTCCCCGGCAGAACGAACATGCGCTTCTTCTGCTTCCAACCCGACGTGGTGGACGACGTGCAGGCCGTCCGATACCACACCAAATCCTCCTCCCAACCTGCTCTACCCCCATCATCATATCCTCCAGTCGCCACTAGTGCCAGCGCTCGTCACAGACCGAGCAGCGCCAAGAGCGCCACAACCGCAATCTCTACCACCAACCACGCCGCCACCATCACCAACAACAACAACACCAGCACTAATAATGTATTACACTCGGGTCTGAATCGATCCAAGTCGAGCTTGCCTATGGGCAAGCGATTATTTGGTGACAAGAAGCACAGTATCGGCGTGATTGGGCCTCCAGTCCTCGTCGGCCCCCCTCCCACCGTACCAACGGTTGGCATTGGGCCCGGACAGGGATACCTCTTTAATACCAGCACAGGAGCGCTCAACCCTATTACAAACGGTGCTCCCGAACTTCAGCCCAATCACAAGGCGACAGCGGGAGGTGTGACCGATAGCGAACGTGAAGGAGGCACAGGCAAGAATGTCGTCGCCGCGATGAGGAGAAAGAGTCGTCGTCTATCCGCACCGTTTTCGGCCGCAATGGGACTCAGTGGAGGTGAGGGAGCTG